AATCGAAAAGTTGAAAAATTAATTACATAATTATGTTATGAATAATTCGACACTCAAACTGTTATAGAACCTCATGTTGTTTGTTTGAGGAAATTTTTTTGTTCATTGCATTAGAGTAATTTGTTTTTATGGCATAATTATTTGAATAGGAATTCATTTTAAAGGAGGTGAACCTTTCATTATTTTTCAAGACATTGAAAAATCAATTTCGTCCCTAATAGTATGACAGTTGTCCTCCCTTCCCAAAAATATATATTTTTTTTCCTGATCACATTTTGAGTGATTTGAGAGTTAAATACTCATATAATTAATATATGTGTACTCTTTTTAAATTATAACGCACATATATCTACTAAATTTTAGCACCTTTCCAGAAAATATATTATTCCTAAAAGTATCGCTATTATCCCTAACCACCCTTAACCACCCCTAAAAGTCTTATTTTTTTAAATTATTTTTTTGCAGCCAGCATTTAAATACCATTAAAAGTGATTTTATATAGTTTCATTTATTTTTATTTTAGAGTAATAATTATATATTTTTTTAAATATAATGAGCCAATGCCCCCTTAAAATTAAATCCTGGATCATCTATGTTGATGTTGTTGATATGTTAAGGACTGTATGCTTTGATCAAAGCATACTTCGATACCATGCGATCCGACAATTATTTAATAGACCTCACTCTTAAAAACGCATTTCGTTCTAAAGCTACGATTACGTCCCGCTCCGACCGCTCCGTAGCAGGCACTTTGCCGATACCATCTGACGCCGATGATGAAGGCCCATTCCATCCGATAAGAAAATATCTACGCAAAAGTGTGGTGTGCCCGGGCACAATAACCGCCCTCGCAACGACTCCTAGAGCCGTATAATTCCAGCCAACTTTTCCCGCTACCTTTTGCATTTATGAGAGGATAGCACACGAGGGTCGAATTACGACTAATGGCACGCGGGGCCCAGCACTGAATTGGAGCAATTACCTACATTAAATGGAAAATGTCTGGAAGAATCGACTCCTAGAGTGCTAGAGTGGTCTAGGGAGAACTTGGCTCTAACCGCTATTTCTTACCTCAGGCGTTAGGCTGAATCCAGGATCCAGAATGGCATGCCTTCCTCTAGCTCCACTTCTTGAACGTTCCGTCAAAAAGAAATACTCCGAGGATTACAGGCGTATCTACGGGTTTAAGATGCCTCTCAAAATGGTAAAACATGACCATTTTTTATGGAAAAAAAAATTAGTATGTTGCTTAGCGTTACATTATTATTTAATAAAGACGGTTCTCGGTAAGATACAATTTTGAATAATAGCTCATTACAAAGAGGATGAAATGATGAACATTTCCCTCGCTAACAATATGCAGGTTCGATTTTTAGTTCTTGAGATATTTTAATCCATATGAAAAAACACTTCAATTAGTCGATCCCGAGCGTTGCACATTGGAAATCTGACGGCTCAATCTGATTCGCTCTCCACAATAAAAGTCCAAAACGCTCATAAAGAAGTTTTCACTTCAAAAAAATTATCTCTAAAAGTATTACTGTTCTTGTAATTACATTTAACTGAACTCCAAGAATCACTTAATACTTTTTCAATTCGATAGTTTTGTTCTTCCAAAGTAGTAACCATTATATATTATTGGCAGTATGGCGGACTGGTAAAATATGTTTTGTTCTTAAGCACTTGGAGGACTTTTTACAGAATCGCTAGGAAACTTAGCGACCGCAAATATATCTTGGTTCTATAAATAAAAGTTTTCTACAAAAAATACGAAAAATATTGATATTAATGAGTAATTGATAGTAATTTGATGTAATGGAATATTCTTTTTATATTGTCATTAATTAATTTGTGCATGCCGAATAAACCACTTGTATAATAAGAATACACTACTTGCTTCTGCATAGGCATTGCAACTTCGTTCAGTGAGTATCACGCCTGCTTATCAGCGAAATCAATGCGTATCTATATTGTTTAAAACTAATTATGGAAAATAAAACTAATATTAATAAGAAAAAAAATAGATTAACTTAATTATTTTTAAATATGCGTATTTCAAAGTTCAGGGCATAACAAAATTTTATTTCTTAAAATCGAATAAAATTCATCACTATATATATCATTATATTACATTACATCTCATAATAAAAAAAAAAAATATGGATATGTTGTATCTCATATTGTACAAAATTATTTAAAAAATAATTATGAATTTTTATTTCGATTTATGTTAATCGATATAGAAGATTTTTTATCAGAAAAAAGTAGTGTTTACGCAACCATATCGTGATTTCTTATTGATATTTCTTATTATTATTTTTTTATCTCGAATAATTCAGGCAATAAAAAGATGTGCGCTTGCAAGTTGGCATTGTTAGGCTCAAGGCCTTCAATGAACAACCGGTCTTTTTAATTGTGCATTATGTTTGCTTAAAAAGGATTGGAACGGAAATAAAAAATTAATAGTTTCAACTTTCATTTTTATTCAATAAATTTCCAAGCATATAATATATAACTGATGATTCATGCAACATATTTCCTTATTTACTTCATATTTTTTTTTATTGCGATTTTTAATATACTTAAAAACAGCAAATTATGAGTTTTAATAAAATTATTTACAATACCAAGAACATTAAAACTTTTTATAAACTTTTAAAGTTTGGTTTTAATACTTCTGGTCAATTCAATTCAATACTTCTGTTTTATTCTGAAGACAGATTTTAATGGGTACGACGAATTTTGTTTAAAAAAAAAATTGAATTTTTACTAGAGAATTTATAAAAGTTAAGTGAAAAATAAATTGCTTTTTTATACATCGCATTTCTTGACTCATGCGGAACTTAATAAAAATGTGCAGGCAAATTAAGTTATAAAAAAAAAATCATTGAAATGAATTCTTTCATCTATTGTTATCAATCAATAGACGTTCTAATAAAAAGAAAAAAAATATCATTTATTTACAAAAGAAAATAATCCTTAGATGAATACAAAGAATTCGTAAATTAGTTATAAACGAAGTGATAGAGTTACAATAGAAATCACTTTGGCAATGTTCGTTAAAACAAACTAGTTTTGTTGTAGGAGCTATGCCAAACTATTTTCCGTCTAGTGCCATATCGCTGAGGTGAAGAACAATGAAATGGCTATTTTTTATTTCAGTTTCTTTTTTTTAATTTCGTTTTCGATTTTAATCTTTTTATAATAATTATTATCATTACTACAATATTATCATTATTTCTTTAAGGTTACTGCACTCTTAACGTAAAGGAATATATTATTTTTATATTTTTGTCACCTCTAAATTAAAATAATAAATACGAAAAATAAATAAATAAACAAATAACTGAATAATCTCTTAGATACAATTTGATACACACATATGCATACAAAAATAAAAAAATAAGTCATTTTTCATTATCGTTTCAATCACTAATTTTGGAATATAAAAATAAGAAAAATGAATAAACTGGTACTTGTTTTTTATCAACAGTTGTCTAAAAATAAAAATTGTTTAATCTATTTTAAAAGGTATGTTTAATACTACCGTAGTTTAGTGCTGATATTAAAAAACCGTATCCATCCCATGTTAAAAGCATCAGTGACCTCATATGACCCAGGCAAAAATAAACCCTCTCAACAGCCCAGCTTCTGTTTAGTACCAAACATTTTTAATAAATTTACAAAAAATAACTAATAAAATATTTTAAGTAATAACATTTAAAATAATAAAAATTAACGACTCGTTTATTTATATGTTTTCCTGTTTTTTTTATTCATTTTCGTAAATTTGCCAATATTTAGTAGTATTTAACATTCGGTGTTGTAACTTACAGTAATTTATACTTTTAGGTACAAAATATACGTATAGTTGTATTTGTTTCATTTTAATAATTTTATAAATTTTGAATTAATATATTATTTATTTTTCTATCGAGCCATCAGGTAAAAAAAAAAATTACTTATGCAATGCAGTTGAATATATTGCATCAGAATTCAGGTCGTGCTCAGAGCAATTATATTTTTAATTGTGCTTCTACAGAAAACTAGCAAATAATGATGTTTATTTAATTGCAGATGTTTACAGAATTTAAATATTAAAACAATTATTACTATAATAAAATATTTTAGTAGGGATATTGTTTCCAAAGTCAATATACACCCACTTTCTGAAAATTATTTTAAAAATAAAAAAAAAACATTAAAATTATTATTAGGCATTTCATGTAAACAATTTAAATATTATTGAAAAGGGTTATTTTACAAAAATATATGACATTGAAACTATTAGTTTTGAATGAAATGACATAATCTGTACATGTAGAACCTGTCAAGATTTAATATATTACGAATTGTAGATGAACTAACTTATTATGGAATGTTCCTCTATGGCATAAATAAATATATTATTCCTCCTAGCGGTCTCGGAATGTTCTTATATGAATTAATTTTCTCATTCTATCCTATTCATTCATTGCAAATAAACTATGAATGGAATCATTTATCACCATTACTAATTGTCCTAGCAGATTCTTAGACTTGACAAAAAAAATAGATAAACATATAAAAAATTAATAAATTATTAAAGTTCTATAAAATAGTGCAATGTATTTAATAATAAAGTTAATGTAAGTTTCTTTGTTTAAAAAGTGAAAACAAAAACACTCTTAAATAATATTTTTTAGTTTGAACTAATTATTCCCAAATTAAATTCATTAATATTAAATGATAAATTTACGAATTGTGTTTTTTGAATATTTATATGGATTTTTTTTTTCATTGGTTATATTGCATTAGGTGATTTATGGTCATCATCACAGAAGATGTAGATTTATTTATGAATCTCGAACACTTTCAAGACTTACATACCTCGTATATATATATGAGCGGGATGGGAAAATGCAACCGAGCCCAAATATAAAACCAGAGGGAATAAATCAAATAGATGTCTAAAAAAAAAAAAAATAACAACATAGCTGAAAAAAAAAGGAGAAGACTACCTCAAAAATGCTGTGCAGTTGGCCGCGTGCCCCCAACAAAAATACTGACGGGCCAGGCTGGGCTAAGGAACTCAGCGTTGACCGAGATCAGTCTTCTTATCGCAAGCCAAGATAACGGATGCAATATTAGCTTCGTCTTGCACTGCATCTCTCCTTGGAGGGATCTTATTGATATTACAGACCCTATAATATCAATTCGCATGTATTATAATCGAATACTGTTAGGGGACTGGCAATAACCAATTCTGGTTAGATATATAAACACTTATAGAACACAAGGACATATTTTAATTATTATTGTATTACAGAACTAAATGTAATTAAAATAAAAAAAGTTCATATCATATATACAAAACATATAGATAGAGTAATAGCAAAATAGATAAAAAAAAATTAAGATAACTAAAAATATTTAATACACATACAAACCTAGATAAAATTTACACTCAATCTGAAAAACTATGAATTAAAAATTATGAAAACTATGAATTGAAAACTATGAATTTAACATTTTCATTTCTTCTTAATATCTTGACTATATTTGTTATTAGGTACCTTCTCTTAAATCGTCAAGAATAACAACCAAGTGGAAGCAAAACTTTGTATATTTAACAAAAAAATAATCAAACAGTTTAGATTTTGTCTTGGTTTTTTTTTTCTTTTTTTTTTCATCATTCCATATCTACTACGTTTGCTAACGTATGAAATGGTGGATATCACTACAGCTTTAGTACTAAAATAGCACAGATAAAATTAATAACTAAGAAGTCCATAACATAAAATTTTGAAATTATATGTTATAATGAAATTATTAATTTTTTTGAATCTCTGGGTCTTTATTTAGAGTAATTTAAAATGGTTGAAATGTTTTTATAAAATATTAAACATCGTTTTCGATTACTTTAATATGTTTACATATATATTTGAAATATTTTACTGATATTCAGAAGTGCAGAATTTTTACCATTATTTTTTAAAGAGTTTTCAAATTAGAAAGCAATTCGAAGAATCTGATATAGCTTCTAATTACGATTGAATAAATAATCTGCTTTAAAGTCTATGTGTAGAAGATATTATAAATAGATCATTCATGAATTTGGCAGGATATATTATATTTAATAATATTATCCATGAATCGCAATGAATGATATTCATAAAGTTTAATGTTGGCTTATCCGGGCGATGAGCCTGGACTGCCCGGATTTCACTTTCGGTGCCGTTTGCATTATACAGTAACAGACGGCGCGGTCCCTTGCGGAACCCCTTCAGTAACATCCCGTAGCGGTCCAATTTTATCTTCAAGTTTACCTCACATACACACAGACACACACATAGACATACACACGTGTGTACAGGTGGGGATAAAACAAAAGGAGCCCCACGTGACTTCCCCCACCCCGTGGACTCCCCTCCAGCCTCTCGGCTCCTTCTTCTTTTTGGTTTTTATCCCGCTGCCGTGGAGAGTGGAGCCGCTCCAGTCATGACTGAGGTAAGTCGTAATTCTTATCAATGTCTGCCCCTTATCAGTGCTAAGTCCTTCGCGTCTCTTCAAGTTCCAAGCCTTGCTTCCAACATACAATCGATTAACATCTTATTAACAACCATCATATATACGAAATTCAGCATCGATTCATAATAAAATCGGTTCCTAATATTTTCCATATTTTCAGACATATGAAAAAAAATCTCAAGCTGTACAAGTCACATTCCTGAATAAATGTATCAAACATTTAACAACATGATAACAAAACTTAAAAAAATTATCATTAGAGCATTTTATAATTTATTATTCAATTTTAATTAAAATATTATATTTCTATACATAGCTGTCAAACCTAATATAAATCAACTTTATAAAAATAATAACTTAAAATATATTAAATAAAATATTTGCTACTAATGAATAAGAATGTTTATTATATTAATAAATTATTTGCGAATCATTAGTTATGATTACACTACTTAATTTAAATACAAATTAGAAATTATTCATAACTGTCTAATTAAATTATTAAGTACATAAATCTATCATTAGTACTTTTAAAGTCAATATTTTTTTTTTATGGAAAGTTATGGCTTTAATACATTATATTAACAACATAATAATATATTTTTTAAAAAATCATTATAAATTTTTAAAAACATCATGCTAGATGGGCATGTGTTGTAGGAAGGTTACAGCTGTTATAACCTTTCCCTGTCAAAACGTCAGTTCTTTGGAACTTCGTGGGAATTTTTAAATACTTATTTCTATCACAATAAGGAAATAAATGTGTAATGTTGAATAATTAACTTTTTTTTTTACACAACGACCTAAATAATAATTACAAAGAATATACTTTTTTTAAAAATATTTAACATATATGTATAGTTTGCTCGTGTGTCTGTAATTTTATAATTTACTTATATTATTGATAGTTTAAAAAACATTAAATATTAAACAAATGATGAATTACATATGATGTGTCATTCTTAATAGATAATTATAAAGATATACTTTTTAATTAAAAATAATAATCTCGTTTATATTGACGTTTTTCTAAAATGATTTCTAATAATAATCAGTAACATAACCAGTCTTTATCAACATTTCTAGATTGTCTTACAATGTCCAGGCCTGTCTGTATTGATGAATGACGGTACGAAAATAAACTAAATATTTCCATCAATAATTTTTTAAAAAAACAAGCTAAAATATATTCATCATTTAAAACTCGATTAACAGAGTTAATAAGTAAGTTAATTAAATGTATTAACAGAATGATTTTTTACAGCCACATTTTTACATAATGTAATTCACACAGAAGAACTAATTTTAGATAAAGTATATTAAATAATTTTTCTATCAATCAGTTGTCATTAAAAAAAAAAAATGAAACCTTACCTATGTTTTATATTAATATCCTGGAGTAATTTTATGTTGTTTTATAAGAGATCATTATTTGTACCATTTTGGCATCAAAGCGATTTTAATGCAAAAGACTTAAGATTCGAAGCAATTATGAGTCCTTAAAATTGATATGTAAACATATTAGATAGAGTTCATTATATGTTTTTAAAAAATGCGTTACAGAATAATTTCAAAATTTCTATAAATTAAATCTTAATTACTTTTATAATTTTCTCCTAGTTCAATACTTTCTTCTCTGTTTTATTATTTTTTTCCAAATTCTCTTTTAGTATCTTTTCGAAGCTGTTACATTTCTCCTAGGTGTATTGTTTTGCTTCTAAGATTACTTGTAAATTACATTTTTTCAATTCGTGTTATAGATGTATGTTGAGTTTGATACCATATTCATGGACAATAAAAATGAATAGAATTAAAAATCAGAGATATGGTTTTTGTCTTGGTTTTTATATAAAAATCTGATGTTGATCCAACTTGAAGTTTAAATATCCTCTTGATTTTCTATATGTTTGCGCTTTGCTTGGTTTTGAACAATCTCCTTACCTGAATATGTTTCAGTATTCTTTGTTGACGTAAAGATAAGTGTGGTGTTTAAATAATGATGTTTTCGATTCCTTATCATTAGAAATCTGTGCTTCCTAGCAACTACAGGACTATCTCAGTATCCATGTTATCCTTTTGGACTCTTCCGTAGAATAGAACCTTCAATGAATTTTAGGTTGGGTATCCCTTATCATCCGAAACCGCCCTACATACTCCATCCTCTTCTTGTGCCTTCCCTTCATCACCCTCTCGTCGCAGGTCACCAACTTGGTCAATTCGCGGGCCACGTGTGCCGTACCCAAGGCCCTGACCCCAGAGTCTTGGACCGGTCTTATAAATAGCCAGGCCTACCCCAACAACATCCGACTTGTGCCTCGGCTTGCCATAATTATATTCTTCGGCCGGTTTATGCCCACGGCATTAAAAAACAAAAAACGAATGGCTCCGCCGCATCGCACCGTTCATAAGTTCCGACACGTAGTTATTGCAAAACATTTTTCAAGCTGTGTTCTGATGATAATATTCACCTTCTTGGAAAATATCACTACGTAGAAAGTTTAACTTTTAATAAGAAATCAAACTGACATTAGCATATTAATCGGAAAGTGTCTATCAAGATATAATCTAAACGGAGATGAAACCGCTAACAGTATATTCAGTCATTTTTGTTCTTACATTTTAAAATAACTATTCTATATAACAAATATACTGATATTATCCGCAATCCATTAAGGTCACATAACATAAATAAAAATATTGTATTCTTAATTCGACTCCGATATGCTTAAAAGTTTGTCCCTGCTCTTTCCTTCCAATGATCGCAAACATTTATGACCTCTGTTCAGTTCTTATGGAGTTTATAGCTTGATAATATAAAGCCTAAAGCTGTCCTCAGTAAACGTTAGATCTAATCCAAAAAATATTGTTTGAAATCAGGTTGACAGTTCCTGATTTCAATATGCTTAAACTTTAGCTCTGTATATCACCTTAAATATAAAAGTGTTGATGTTTTATTTTTCCTGTAAATTCCTGTATTCAGTTATTAATAAATAATTATTTATTGTGAGCATTCGATTAAGGGTTTTAAAAGAAATTATATTCCTAACAATTCACAATATAACCTGAATTAATACCTCTGGAGTGTCCACGAGTAATAAGTAAAAAACTTAAGTCTTTCAAGAAAAACTGAACTAATATTTCCTTATTTTTATTTTTTTTATTTAGGCCAATTAATCAGTTGTAAAACATTATTATAACTAAGAAATATAAAATTAATTAATTAATTAACTTAAGGCTAAAAGAAAATCCAGATTATACCAATGAATTTTATTTCAATGTTTGTCAAAAAAAAAATGCAAGTACATTAAGAAGCATAGTTCTTAGAATACATTAAGAAGCATGAAAAGCATAGTTCTTAAAAAAAAAAATCACCCCTTTCTCTTAGATTTCATAACTTCTTCTGTAAGAGATCTATATATTTTTGTAAGAGTTAATTTCAAGTTGGCTAAAAAAAATGTATTTGTATTGATTGGATAACGCAGAATCTTTTAAAAATTCGCATTGTTCAAATTAACTGATTTTTATTTCTAATAAATACCATAAAAATAAATTAAGTATTGAAAATCGCAAGAAATAAATCAATATATTTACCAATTTGTATTATATTTTGGTATACCAATTTCGAATATTTTCTTAAGCACACATTAATTTTTTTTAAAAATAAATTAATCAATCTTC